TACACATTAGTTCAAGGCCTGAAGTGTGACTTGAGCAAAAGCACATTCACCATTTGTTCAGCAAATGGTTGTTAGTACCCTATATACTAAGCACTAATACTAGTGATACAGAGATAATATCCAGCCCCAGTTCAAGGAGCCCACAGTTTACAGGGTAGACAGACAAAAGTAAAAATTATGGTGTGGCTTCAATGTTAAGTCAGTCACTGAATACTTACTATCTACTGTAGGATACGTAGATACTGTTGTGGGTCCTGGAGCTAGCCAGAGTTACTAATCTTGTATAGCTTATTTTCTGGAGTGTATAAGGAGGGAGACAGAGTGCAAAAGTCCTGAGGTGGTAAATAAGGTTGGTGTTAGGTGTATGCGGATCAGAAAGGCCAACCTGGCTGGAGGATAGTTGGGTGGCTAGATGATTAGTTAGGCAAGGGTCAGGTCTTGCAGGGCCTTGTTGAAGACCATGGTAAGAACTTTAGGTTTTATCTTAAGTGTTTTGGAAAGGCATTCCAGAGTTTTCAGTGGAGAAATGACATGATCAGGTTTCTGTTTGACGAATAAACCCAGAAATGTCTGTGTGATTACAGAAACACTGATGAGGAAACCATTGCAGTCATCCAGAGTAGAGATAAAAAAATCCTTCTTGGGGAAAATGGGCAAGGGTTCATAAAGGAATAATGTCATATTAGAACCATGGATGACAGGACATTTGCTAGGCAGGAAAGTCAGGCATGTGTGTTAGATGAACCAGAAATAACTTTGGATGACTAGTTGGGTGGGCGAGTGAGCGGCAGGACGTAGAGCTGATGGCAAACAGGGAAGGGCTTTAAAGGTTGATCTAGGGATGCAGGGTTATCAAATTGCGCGACTACCAAGTTCTATGTAGGTATGTCCTTTGGAGTTGTGCAGCAAGGTAGCCTTGGTAGGGAGTTTGACTCTGAACCTAAAGGCAGCTATACAGGGCTTTTACTTAGTATAGAGACTGAAAGCTGGCATCTGGGATGACCGGGTGGGGCAGTGCTAGGACAGAAAGCAAGCAGGACGCAAGAGACTCTAATAAGGCCTGAAGTTAGGTAGGGGCTGTTGAACTGGAAATGGAGGGTTTGGGCTTGGAATGAACAGTAAAGAGGATTTGAGGTGTGGATTGGGGGGAGAAGCTAATGAGGCCTTTTTATTTATTTTGCTTGTTTTGTTTTGTTTTTGTTTTTATATGAGGCCTTTTAAAAAATACAAAACAATATAAAATATTGAAACAATACAGAAGTATGGAGTTCACAAAATTCTCATCCTCCACTCCTTTGAGCTACCTAAAACATTTGGTGTATCTTCCATTTTTCTGTGTGTGTATTTATTTATTTTATGTTTGTATTCAAATCTATTATAAAGATACACCTACAATTGAAGTTTAAAATGGAGGTTTACAATTGAAGTAAAAAATGGTCATACACTTCTTGTTGTTATTATTATTATTTGAAATGGAGTCTTGTGTACAGTGCCGTGATCTCAGCTCACTGCAACCTCCAACTCCCAGGTTCAAGTGATTCTCCTGGCTCAGCCTCCCGAGTATCTGGGACTACAGGTGTGCACCACCACACCCAGCTGATTTTTGTATTTTTGGTAGAGACTGGGTTTCACCATGTTGGCCATGCTGGTATTGAACTGACCTCAAGTGATCCGCCCACCTCAGCCTCCCATAGTGCTGGGATTACAGCAGTGAGTCACTATGCCCAGCCTATTTTTTACTTTTTCATATGATACCAATATAATATAGTTCTGTCTTGTTTTGTAGCCACTATGCAGCACTCCGTTGTTCAGATGTATCATATTTAGTCGACAGACCTTTAGACTGGCTTCGGTTTTTCACTATTCCCAGCATTAGTGAAATGAGCATTCTTTTTTATTTGTCTCCGTACTGTGTAAACACTGCCTTGGAGAGCATGTGAGGTGACATGCGTGGAATTCAGGTTGTGACTTGGGGGAAGCTGTGATCCTGATCCCTTGAGGGAACATGTATTCTGCTCTGAGTCTGTCCTTGGGGAACCTCCAAGGGAGTGATCAGAATGGTCAGGAGTCTGCAGGCCACATTCTAGGGGCAACAGTCAAAAGAACTGGGGCTGTTTCTCCAGATTTCAGCTGGGACTGTTCACAGCTTCCATGTATCAGATGAGTTCTCATAGGGAGATAGGGTAAGGCCTTCCCATGGAGCTGGGGAAGAACACCTACCAGGTAGAAGTAAGAATTCCACAGAGTTAGGTCAGTTTGGGTAGGATTTGTATGGACCTCGACTTTCTGATGATTGGATTGTAAGACTGGGTTTTCTGTCACTGGGAGCATTCACGCAGGGGCCAGGGTGCTGTGGAGGGGCAGTATGTGAAGCAAGTTGAACTCTTCACATTCCAACTTTGATAACAGCATTCCAGATGGAGACTATGAGAGACCAAGATGGGGTACTGGGCTGTGAGGGAGGAGCGATTGACTGAGGATTCGTATAGGGGAGGGCTGAGGCTGGAGGCGTCTCAGGGTATAGCTCTGGGAAACCTGGAATGCTGGGTGAAGCTCAGTGAAAGATTTAACCTCATGTGCACTGCTGGTGGAGTGGTCTTCAGGTGTATGAGCCAAGGGGGACACAGGGATAACAAGAGGTCTGAGGGTGATTGTTATGGTGACTGCAGGAGGATGGAATACCCGGGTGTTGTCATGGTGCTCCATGCAAGAAAATGTTTCCAGCAGAGGGAGGGGGTGAATCAGAGAAGCATGGTGCTGCCTGGTTAGAGGGGCAAGACATGAGTTAGTTTGGAACTGGCTGGGTAGGGAACTGGGACTGGAGATGAACTTTCAGATTTCATTCTGCAAATACATATTGTCTAGGTGCTTGGGATAGAGCAATGAACAGAACAGCTAAATATTCCTTTCTCACAGAGTTTATATTTTAGTAGGGGAAACAGTAAATAAATGTATATAATGTTAGACATTGAGAAAAAGCAGAAAAGGGGTATGCAATGTCAGGGGCAGTGTGGTTGAAATTTTAGAGGGGCTAAAAGGGAGAGCCTATATATGTATATATATAAAACAGGGAAGATTATTTTGAGTAAAGACTTGTGGGGAAAGGGAGCAGTGAGCCATGTGGATATAATGCGGAGAAAGAATACATTCCAGGTACTGCAAAGTGTTTGGGGTAGAAACAAACTTGGCTGGCTGGGTGCGGTGGCACACACTATCATGCCAGGACTTTGTGAGGCTGAGGTGGGTGGATTGCTTGATCCAAGGAGTTCGAGAGCAGCCTGGACAATATAGTGAGACCCTGTCTCAACAAAGAAAAAAAAAATTAGCTGGGTATGGTGGTGCATACCTGTAGTCCCAGCTACTTGGGAGGCTGAGGTGGGAGGGATCGCTTGAACCCAAGAGGCAGAGGTTGTGGTGAGCTGAGATCTCACCACTGGGTGACAGAATGAGACTCTGTCTCACAAAAGAAGGAGCAAACAAACTTGGCTTATTTGAGGAGTGACAAGCAAGGTGGCTGAAATGGAGTGAGCAAGAGAGATGATATTAGGAGATCAGGTTAAAGAAATCTAGACTTTCCAGGACATTATAGGCCATGGTATAGTTTGGATTTTTTCTTTTCTTTCTTTGTTGCCCAGGCTGGAGTACAGTGGCGCGATCTTGGCTTACTACAACCTCCACCTCCCAGGTTCAAGCGATTCTCCTACCTCAGCCTCCCAAAGTGCTAGAATTACAGGCTCCCACCACCACACCAGCTAATTTTTTTATTTTTAGTAGAGATGGGGTTTCACCATGTTGGTCAGGCTGGTCTTGAACTCCTGACCTCAAGTGATCCAGCCACCTTGGCCTCCCAAAGTGCTGGGATTACAGGCGTGAACCACCACATCTGGCCAAGTTTGGATTTTTTCTAAGTGCAGTGGTAAATGGGAAGTATTAGAGGATTCAGGCAGAGGTGTGATAAGACCTCACTTTTTTTTTTTCTTTTTTTTTTTTCTTGAGATGGAGTCTTGTTCTTGTTGCCCAGGCTGGAGTACAGTGGCATGATCTCAGCTCACTGCAACCTCCACCTCCTGGGTTCAAGCAATTCTCCTGCCTCAGCCTCCTGATTAGCCAAGATTACAGGCACGCGCCACCATGCCCGGCTAATTTTTGTATTTTTTTTAGTAGAGACGGGCTTTCACCATGTTGGCTAGGCTGGTCTCAAACTCCTGACCTCAAGTGATCTACCCACCTTGGCCTCCCAAAGTGCCAGGATTACAGGCATGAGCCACCGTGTCCAGCCTCACTTATGTTTTAATAGGATCAGCCTGACTGCTGTATTTAGAATAGCCTGCTGGGGTGGAGATGGGGGAATGGAGGTGGAGACGGCATAGAATAAGGGAGACCAGTTGAAGGGGCTAATGCTGTAAGCCAGGTGAGAAACAGTGATGGCTTAGATTGGGCAGCAGCAGTGGAAATAGTGAGGAGTTGGACATTAGCACTCATTAGAGGTGAGGAGAATTAGTAGGGGGATCATAACTCCACCCCAAGAGTTAGGTCCCCAGGGTTAGTGAGAAATCACTGGAAGAAGATACTTTGTGGATCATAGTTATATTTGGGGTTATATTAGGATCAGAACTTGGATTAGGGTCTGACCTGGAACCAGTAAGGGGGTCAGAAAGATTTATTGGTCTTTGCAAAGACCAAGATTGGAGTCTGGGTTTGGACAGCCCTATTGGGATTAAGACAAATTTTAGGGTGAGGATAGTTTGGGGTTACAGTTGTAGATGGAGGCTAGTACCCCTTTTCAATATCTTCAGACCAGGGTTGGTTGTAACCGCCATCTTCTGTGCCAGTGAGCTCACTTGGGGGTGGAGGAGTTTGGAGGCTATAAGGCCTTTTCTTCCTTGGGTGTCATGGGGGTAGACGTATGCTCAGCCCTGCCTGGGTCCCAAGCTGGGACCTGCAGTCAGGGAACGGGAGAGAAGGCTCCCTGGTGCTTGACCCAGCTTCTTTTCCCTCAGATGGCCCACTGCGTGACCTTGGTTCAGCTGTCCATTTCCTGTGACCATCTCATTGACAAGGACATCGGCTCCAAGTCTGACCCACTCTGCGTCCTTTTACAGGATGTGGGAGGGGGTAGCTGGGCTGAGGTGAGGCAGATTATGGAGGTTAAAGTTGTGGAGGGAGTCTAATATTGTGTTTTGGGGTGGAGGCTGTGACTGTGATGCTTACTGGCCTCTGCCCACAGCTTGGCCGGACTGAACGAGTGCGGAACTGCTCAAGCCCTGAGTTCTCCAAGACCCTACAGCTTGAGTACCACTTTGAGACAGTTCAGAAGCTACGCTTTGGAATCTATGACATAGACAACAAGACACCAGAGCTGGGGGATGATGACTTCCTAGGGGGTGCTGAGTGTTCCCTAGGACAGGTATGTAGGGCTGGGGATTAGGATCCTTCAGACACAGGTTGTGAGACAACCTAGCCTGCCTGGAGGTAGGCGGCAAGCAGGACCTAACCCTGCCTGTTATCCTGAAACTCCCTTCCCTGCTTTGCCCCAGATTGTGTCCAGCCAGGTACTGACTCTCCCCTTGATGCTGAAGCCTGGAAAACCCGCTGGGCAGGGGACCATCACGGTAAGGAACCCAACAAGGGTTGGGGAGGGACTTAACATCAGTGAATTCATGAGGTGATGTAGTCTTCCCCTACCTAGGTCTCAGCTCAGGAGTTGAAGGACAATCGTGTAGTGACCATGGAGGTAGAGGCCAGAAACCTAGATAAGAAGGTGTGCCTGGAAGTAGGCACTGGTAATCCAAGAGTTAAGGGGCCAAGGATGGTATATGGGGCATGGGGGTGTGGACAGAGGGATGGCATAGTGGTGGTTTGTTCCTGAGTTTTGTAACTGGGGTCTCGCATTGGCAGGACTTCCTGGGAAAATCGGATCCATTTCTGGAGTTCTTCCGCCAGCGTGATGGGAAATGGCACCTGGTGTACAGATCTGAGGTATGAGACCCCTGGGATTGGGTGGGTTGGGGTAGGAGAGAATCTCCTGGGGCCTGTGACTAGCAAGGTTTGGAACTTGGGGAGAAAGAAACTGCAGGTGGGTAGAGAAGTGTGGCAGCTCCTCACGGGCCATGCCAGAACTCACTGGAGGCCTTGGCCTCCACCTTCAGGTCATCAAGAACAACCTGAACCCTACATGGAAGCGTTTCTCAGTCCCTGTTCAGCATTTCTGTGGTGGGGACCCCAGCACACCCATCGAGGTGAGGAGCTTGTCTCCTGCGTGGACTGCGCTGGGGAAGAGAACCTGGGGAGGGACTTATTCTCATCTGCCACCTGACTCGTTTATGTCCACACACACCTTCCCCTCAGGTGCGATGCTCAGATTATGACAGTGACGGGTCACATGATCTCATCGGTACCTTCCACACCAGCTTGGCCCAGCTGCAAGCAGTCCCGGTGAGTGCTGGTCTTGCCATGGGTGTGGAAATGGGCCTAGATAGCTGAAGCTCGGGGTTAGAGAGGGAGGAGAAGGCAGCTCGAGTCCTTGGCTGATGCTCTGAGAATTTCCTACCCTAATTTTTCTGTCCTCACCAGGCTGAGTTTGAATGCATCCACCCTGAGAAGCAGCAGAAAAAGAAAAGCTACAAGAACTCTGGAACTATTTGTGTCAAGATTTGCCGGGTGAGACAAAAGCCCATATAACCAACGCTTTGATTCCTGAGCTCCATGACATCAACTGCTGTCATCCCAGGCATGACCCTGGTTTCATTTGCAGGTAGAAACAGAGTATTCCTTTCTGGACTATGTGATGGGAGGCTGTCAGATCAACTTCACTGTAAGTTGCCTTACCAAGGGCAAGAGAATAGGTCTGGGGCTCAAGGTGGTCTTTAGCTCCCTTCCTCACCTCCTCCCAGGTGGGCGTGGACTTCACTGGCTCCAATGGAGACCCCTCCTCACCTGACTCCCTACACTACCTGAGTCCAACAGGGGTCAATGAGTACCTGATGGCACTGTGGAGTGTGGGCAGCGTGGTTCAGGACTACGACTCGTGAGTACCTGCTTCTCTTGGCTATACCTGCTCCCTGCAGATGCTTCAGCCTCTGGGCTCACAGTCCCCTCACTGCCTCTTGCCCAATACACTGTCCTCCCACAGAGACAAGCTGTTCCCTGCATTTGGATTTGGGGCCCAGGTTCCCCCTGACTGGCAGGTGAGCTCCCTCTCTTTCTGCCACTCCTGTTTTCAGTTTCAGGGTCCTGATTTTGGGGGATATGGTAAATTTACTTACTACCTGGCACTCAGCTTTAAGAGGAGATGCAGGGATGAATTCCTGCAGGCATGTAGACAGCAAGTGCTCAGGACTCCATAGCTCCTGTAGGAATCTTGGCACACGCCATAGTGTCCTTTTTCATTCTCAGCACAGAGGTCATGGGGAAAGAACCTCGTTTTCATTCTTGTCTCCAGGTCTCGCATGAATTTGCCTTGAATTTCAACCCTGGTAACCCCTACTGTGCAGGTAAGTTTCCCCATCCACCCTGAGGCAGGTCAGTCCACACACATAGGGGCAAGCCTGCATGAGTAAAAGGGAGAGTGAGGGCAGATACCTGCCTTCATTGTCCAGAAGGTGGATTTTATTTAATTTTTATTTTTTGAGAAGGAGTCTTGCTCTGTCACCCAGGCTGGAGTGCAGTGGTGCAATCTTGGCTTACTTGCCTACAGGCTTCAAGCAATTCTTCTGCCTCAGCCTCCCAAGTAGCTGGGACTACAGGCGCATGCCACCATGCCTGGCTAATTTTTGTATGTTTAATAGAGACGGGGTTTCACCATGTTGGCCAGGCTGGTCTCGAACTCCTGACCTCAGGTGATTCACCTGCCTTGGCCTCCCAAAGTGCTGGGATTACAGGCGTGAGCCACTGCGCCCAGCCCAGAGGGTGGATTTTAGAGCTAGGCCTGTGGAATCAAATCATCATGTCAGGCTAGGAGTGGTGGCTCACGCCCGTAATCCTAGCACTCAGTCGGGAGGCCAAGGTGGCTGGATCACTTGAGCCCAGGAGTTCCAGACCAGCCAAAGCCCTGTCTCTACTAAAACAAAACTTAGCCAAGCATGTTGGCAGGTGCCTGCAGTTCTAGCTACTCAGGAGGCTGAGGTGGGAGATCTCCTGAGCCCAGGAGGTTGAGGCTGTGGTGAGCCATGATCATGATCATGCCACTACGCTCCAGCCTGGGTGACACAGTGAGACCCTGTCTCAAAAAAAAAAAAAAGAAAAAATCATGCCACATGACTTGGGGCAGATTGTTTAATTTCTGTGTGCTTTGGTTTCATAAGAAGACTAAATATTATATGAAATTGACTACTCAAGGAGAGGCTCCAAGTAAAGCAGTAAGCCTGGTGCTTATTAAGTGTTCTCTGAAAAATGGTATCTGTTACATTATCATTATTATCTTTGCCTAGAACCTAACGGGTACTTATTTGAGCATCAGTGGAAGCCTTGTTTACCTCCTTGCAGGGTGTGTTTGGCGAGTCCACCAAGCCCTTTTGTTTCGGGCCAAACCTTTTCACTCCCCAGCACCCCAAGGTGGGCACAAGCTGAAGTGGAAAATGTGACCTAACCTGATCTGATCTGGGTTTTAAAATTTTAATTTTGTATTTCAACTAAGTTCAGACTTAGAGAAAAGTTGCAAGAATAGTCATAGGAGCTCAGTTCCTTGGAACTCAGGGGTCAGGGCCTGAGTTCACAGGGGCTCTTCACCTTTATCCCAGTTACCCTAACATAACAATTTACCACATTTACTTTCTCTTTTCTCATACATGTATACAGTGTGTGTGTGTGTATGTACATGTATACATATATACATACATTCACATTTCAAGGGAAATAAATGTATGTGTTTATGTATGTATACGCATGTATACATATGTTGGAGAATGATGTAATAAATAGCCCTGCCTCAGGTTTGCCTCTATGGTCCTACCAACTTTGTACCCATCATTATCCACCTGGCTCTTTACCTCTGAGTACTTCAGTATCTCCTAAAATCAAAGACTCTTTCTTACATATCACAGACCAATCCTCAAAATCAGGAAATTAACATCTATACTATTATCCAACCTATAGCATTTATTCAGATTTTGCCAATTGTCCTAATATCTTTTACAGCAAAAGAAAATCTCAGATCACACATTGCATTCAGTTAGTATATATTTTTTATATGGACGACTTCTTGCCTTTCATGATATTAACATTTCATGATATAAACAATATAGGCCAGATATTTTCTAGAATGTCCCTCAGTTTGAGTTTACCCAATAAATCCTCAGGATTAGATTCAGGTTGTACATTTTTGGCAGGAATACCACCAAAGTGATGCTGTGTATTCTCAGTGCATCTTATTCAGAGGCACATGATGTTGATTTGTCCTGTTACCAGTCATGTTAACTTTGGTCACTTAGTTAAGGTCAGATCTACCAGGTTTCTCCATTATACAAGTACTATTTTCCCCTTTCTAATCAGTATATTTCGAGAAAAGACTATATAAATATCCATCACATACACATCAACATTCCCCTTTAGTTTTTTATTTTTTAAGTGATGGGGGTCTCACTATGTTGCCCAAGCTGGCCTTAAACCCCTGGGCTCAAGCAGTCCTCCCACCTCAGCCTCGTGAGTAGCTGGGACTACAGGCATATGCCACTGTGCCTGGCTATACTTTCTAGTTTTAACATCCATTGATGATCCTTGCCTGAATCAGTCATTTCCGTGATTGTCAAATGATTGTGTAATTCTTCCTTCTACATTTATTAGGAGCTTTCCTTTCTCCCACAGTAATTAATCCATAGTACGGATCCTTATTGTATCAAATGGATCATTATTAAATAGGTTATAATCTGATGCTCACACTCTCCTGGATTTATCCAGGAGAATCCCTCTCATCTGGGTGTTAATTCAAGCTGTGATTTAGGGCAAGTCCCCTCCTGTCTTTGAACCTTAGTTTCCTCATGTGTAGGAGAGAGTCAAGTACCCTGGTTTACAAGGGTGAATGAATGAAATGCACCCAGGTTCCCAGATCTCCTGGGCTGGGATGGGGTGATTTCAGGACTGGTGTAGTCCTGAGAGGTCCAGGACTTTACGGTATTTCTTGCTCTCCTCTGCAGGCATCCAGGGCATTGTGGATGCCTACCGCCAAGCCCTGCCCCAAGTTCGCCTCTATGGCCCCACCAACTTTGCACCCATCATCAACCACGTGGCCAGGTTTGCAGCCCAGGCTGCACATCAGGGGACTGCCTCGGTGAGAGTCGTGGGCGGCAGTGGCAGTGGTGGCAGTCGAGGGCTTCCTTGAGGGTTATGGAACAAAGGACTTTTTTTTTTTTTTGCTCTGTCACCCAGGCTGGAGTGCAGTGATGTGATCTCAGCTCACTGCAACCTCCACCTCCTGGGTTCAAGTGATTCTCCTGCCTCAGCCTTCCTAGTAGCTTGGATTACAGGCATGTGCCACCATGCCCAGCTAATTTTTATATTTTTAATAGAGACGGGGTTTCGCCATGTTGGCTGGGGTGGTCGCAAACTCCTGATCTCAAATGATCCGCCTGTCTTGGCCTCCCAAAGTGCTGGGATTACAGGCGTGAGCCATTGCGCCTGGCCTGTATCAGTGTGGGGATATGTGGCTGGGGTGTTTGCAGGGGTTTGGGAGGAGGATCTGCTTCAGGACATGAATGGGCTTATCCCTAGCAATACTTCGTGCTGTTGCTGCTGACTGATGGTGCTGTGACCGATGTGGAAGCCACACGTGAGGCTGTGGTGCGCGCCTCAAACCTGCCCATGTCAGTGATCATTGTGGGTGTGGGTGGTGCTGACTTTGAGGCCATGGAGCAGCTGGATGCTGATGGTGGACCCCTGCATACACGTTCTGGGCAGGCCGCTGCCCGCGACATTGTGCAATTTGTACCCTACCGCCGGTTCCAGAATGTAAGTGGGTACAAATTTGATCTGGGAGTTTACCCTTTCACCTTTCCCTGATGTGAGTAGGATTTAGGCCCAAGGGATGCTCACCTTTTCCTCTAAGTCTGGGGTATGGTTGGGTTCTTGGGTATGAAATGCAGACTTTGGGCAGCTGTTCTGGGCCACCACTGACCTTTCCCTTTTCTTGGCAGGCCCCTCAGGAGGCATTGGCACAGACTGTACTCGCAGAAGTGCCCACACAACTGGTCTCGTACTTCAGGGCCCAGGGTTGGGCCCCACTCAAGCCACTTCCACCCTCAGCCAAGGGTCCTGCACAGGTCCCCCAGGCCTAGGTCCCCTTGGAGGCTGTGGCAAGTCCTGAATCCTGTGTTCCAGAGGTCCCTCGGGGCCACAACCCAACCCAACCCTTCACACTCTCCTCAGTGCTAGCACTTTGTATTTTTTGATACTTTTATACTCATTTCTGCTTTTGCTGCTCTTGATCCCACCTGCTTGCTCCTGACAACCTTCATTCAATAAAGACCAGTGAAGACCAATGCTTTGCTACCACTCTGTGTGTGTAAATTTTAGGTGGGAGGCTGCTATTAGCAATGTTTATATCCCTTCTCTGCACCTCAGTTTGTTGACTTAGGGGTTGTTAAGTGAAGGATGTCTGTGGTGTAAAGCCCCACTCAAACTTGAGTATTTCTGGGCAGATACCTATTCATTCTAGAGACACTGACTCACTGTTTTTGAAAATACAGCCAGGGGCGGTGTGATGTGCCTGTAGTCCTCAGCTTGGGAGGCTGAGGTGGGAGGACTGCTTGAGCCCAGGAGTTCCAGACCAGGTCTGGGCAACATCGCAAGACCCCATTTCACGCACAAGAAAAGGAAATACAAAGTTTGAATGTAAGCTAAACACCCAGCCTTCACCTTCCCTCCCTCAGGGCAGAGCTGGTCTGGGAACACAAAGATGGAAAGTGTCAGACTTCATAAAAAGCAGCAAAAGGAGAAGAAAGGATGAGTTTTAAGGTGGAGCAAAGGCTATGTAGACTTCCTGGAGGGGAGGGAGTAGTGATAATTTTCGTCCTAAAGACAGGTGAAAATCCTGAACTTTTTAAGAGCTAATTTTTTCTTAATAGAGAATACATGTATTCATTGTAGAAAAATTCTGGCTGGGCGTGGTGGCTCATGCCTGTAATCCCAGCACTTTGGGAGGCTGAGGAGGGCAGATCATTTGAGGTCAGGAGTTCAAGACCAGCTTGGCCAACATGATGAAATCCCATCTCTACTAAAAGTACAGAAATTAGCTGGGTGTGGTGGCAGGTGCCTATAATTCCAACTACTCAGGAGGCTGAGGCAGGAGAATCGCTTGAACTCAGGAGGCGGAGGTTGCAGAGAGCCAGTATTGCACCACTGCACCCCAGCCTGAGCTACAGAGTGAGATTCTGTCTCAGAAAAGAAAAGAAAAATTTTAAGTACAGAAAAAATACCACTCAAACTACCATGTCCTGATAAAACATATTGGGCATATAAGTTTTTGTCTACACATAGTTTTAGCATTTGTTAAAATTTGTTTTTCTAATTTTAAAATGTGTGCTTATTAGTCTGAAGTTATTTCAAATATAAATATTGTACAAATAGTGGAGCAGGTAAGGGCCCCCGTTTTTCCTAGATCTGGAAAATAGATTTTTATAAATGAGATATTTATACATACTACTTGCACCTTTTTATTTAACACATTTTGGGTGTCTTACCTATCAGAACCTATTGCTTCATTCCTTTTTTTGTTGAGACGTAGTCTCTCTGTTGCCTAGGCTGGAGTGCAATATCGCGATCTCGGCTCACTGCAACTTCTGCCTTCTGGGTTCAAGCAATTCTCCTGCCTCTGCCTCCCAAGTAGCTGGGACTACAGGCATGTACCACCACACCTGGCTAATTCTTGTATTTTTAGTAGAGATGTGGTTTTACCATGTTGGCTGGTCTTGAACTTGAGACCTCAGGTGATCTGCCCACCTTGGCCTCCCAAAGTGCTGGGATTACCGGCATAAGCCACTGCCCTTGGCCATCTCTTTTTTTTTTTTTTTTGTAGGAGTATACCTTAGTTTATTTAGCTAATCTCTTATTTATGGAGATTTGAGTCCTAGTTTATTTCAGTGCTATAATGAACATCCTTGCACATATATGTCTGTGCACTTAACCAGAATGTTTCTGAAGAATTTGTTCCTAAAAGTGGAAATGCTATATCAAAGGTTATACTTAAAATTTTAATAGATACTGCAAATTATCCTTCATAACAAAAATTATGGTCAAACTTACCCCTTTTGTTAATCTGACAGGTAAAAAAGAAGCAAAAAATAATTTTTAGTTTGAATTTATTTATTTATTTTTCACTTTTTTTTTTTTGTGACCGAGTCTCACTCTGTTGCCCAGGCTGGAGTGCAGTGGCACAATCTCAGCTCACTGCAACCTCCACCTCCCAGGTTCAAGTGATTCTTCTGCCTCAGTCTTCCTGAGTAGCTGGGATTACAGGCATGCGCCATGTTTCACCATGTTGGCCAGGCTGGTCTCAAACTCCTGACCTCGTGATCCGCCCACCTCGGCCTCCCAAAGTGCTGGAATTACAGGCGTGAGCCACCGCGCCCAGCTTGAATTTATTTAAGTATGAAGGATAGGTAACATCTTATATGGTTATTTGTAAATTATAGTTATTCTCAATAGCCTATTCATAGTCTGCATGTATGTGTTATAGCTTTTATTTTAAGGTTATTAGCCCTTAATCTCATACATGTTGAAAACATTTCTTCCCAGGTTGTTGTCTTTTTATTAATAGTATCCTTTGGCATATAGAACTGTTTTGATATGGAAATATTATCTTTTTATTTATGCCAGTTTAACTTTTTAAAAAGTTATCCATATATCATTTATTATTATTACTATTTAGACAGAGTCTTGCTGTGTTGCCCAGGCTGGAGTGCAGTGGTGCGATCTCAGCTCACTGCAACCTCTGCCTCCCAAGTTCAAGCAAATCTCCTGCCTCAGCCTCCCTAGTAGCTGGGATTACAGGCACGCACCAGCATGTCCAACTAATTTTTGTATTTTTAGTAGAGATGGGGTTTCACAATGTTGGCCAGACTGGTCTTGAACTCTCAACCTCAGGTGATCCTCCCACTTCAGCCTCCCAAAGTGCTGGGATTACAGGTATGAGCCACCATGCCCGGCCTATATATCATTAATTACTTTCAATGACTTCAGACATTCTCTTATATTACCATTTCTGTTGGCTGCTCAGTTTTTATAACAATTTATCTACTTGGTTACTAAGTTTCCAATTTTCTTTATAAACAACACTGTGTTAAATTTCCTTATAAATATTACCTTTGAATACATCTATGTATTCTTTGGATACATTCTTAGAAATGGAATTGCTGTAAGTAAAGAGTACAAAAATTTGTAAGGCTTTTGGTTCCTGTTGTAAAACTACCCTCCAGAAAAGCTGCATTCATTCATAATTCTAAAAATTCCCCAGATTATTTATTTATTTGAGACGGAGTCTCACTCTGTCGCCAGGCTGGAGTGAAGTGGCACGATCTTGGCCCACTGCAACCTCCGCCTCCCGGTTCAAGTGATTTCCTGCCTCAGTCTCCCAAGTAGCTGGGACTGTAGGCACGTGCCACCACGCCCAGCTAATTTTTGTATTTTTAGTAGAGATGGGGTTTCACCATATTGGCCAGGATGGTCTGGATCTCCTGACCTCATGATCTACCTGCCTCAGCCTCCCAAAGTGCTGGGACTACAGACATGAGATACCGCACCAGGCTGAATTTCACCTCTTAAAGGTATAAACACTATTAATAGTCTGCATATTCTTCTAAAGCTGGGAAGGTGTTAATGCCTACATCTTTATTTTTTTGTAGGAGTGTACCAGTCTCTTATTCCTGGAGATTTGAATCCTAGTTTTTTTCAAACAATGCGATAATGAACATCTTTGTACCTGTATCTTTGTGCACTTAACAGGAATGTTTCTGAAGAATTTGTTCCTAAAAGTGGAAGTGCTAGATCAAAGTGTATATTTAAAATTTTAATAGATATTGCAAATTGCCCTCCAAGATGGTGCATGCTTTTTTGCTCATGCTGTTCCTCCTTTCCTACCCCTAGGTAGAACTCATTAATCCTTTGTTGCCTTCTCCTTCGTCTTTTTTCCCTGCAATTCCACTTTTGACTCTTAGAGTGAAGAATTCTTGGATCTGTAAATGCATTGTCCTGTTTCCTGGAGCCTCTTAATTCCCCTGTCAGGCTCCTTGAGGGCAGGGCCTGGTGAACACTAAATCATCTATCCTGTGCCTCACACAGTGTTGGGAACTCAGGTCTCAGTAAGGACAACCTACATTGGGGCTACCAGGCCTGCATCAGCTCTGTGACTCAGAAGCTTCCTAGAGATTCTCAAGTCTCCTTAGCTTTTGAGTGTGTGCCTGCAGAAAGGGGGTAGCTACCCCTCCACCTGTACCTAGCAGGAGTTGGGGACTTTCCCACTGGGGCTTGAGCACAAAGGTGGGTTCAGGCTGCCTGCAGTTCTGTGGTTAGAGGAATGCCTCTGGAGGAAGGTGGGCCTGGGTACTGCTCTGGCGCTGCCTTTCACTAGCTGTGTAACATTGAACAAGTTTCCTGACCTGAGCAGCTTCCCTCTCTGGTTGTGAGAATTAAGTTAGGTAATGTGTGTAATGTCCACAGCACTGTTTCTTGTACATGGTAGGCACTCCATAAACAGAAGCTGCTGTTACGACCTTGGTCTAGACTTCTCTAAGAAAAGAGGATGCATTGGGAAGTCAACCCCACCATACTTAGATGCAACAGCAGCCAGAGCTCTCCCAACAAGAGCCCCCCAAAGCACTGATCAGCATCCTTCAGCAGAACTCAATTCTACTCCAACAATCAGCATGTTTAATGGGGCCCCCCTGTGGCACTGCCCTCTGCCCCCTCTGAGGTTCGCACACCATGGGCACGGACTCGATACAAGCATGTGAAACGGGGGTGGCCCCAGTTGCTTAGAATCTGGATCTTCACCTTGGGAAAGGCAGCTGGGGGGTCATTCTGAGGAGACAAATGGATCATGCCAAGGGCTTCCCTCCTCCTGGGTAATTTATCCCTCACTGCCCCACTCCCTTGGCACCTTCACCCTGGAGACAAACACACCTGCAGGTGGAAAGTCTGAATCTCCGATTTCTCAACATCAAAGGTGAATTTCCCCAAGAAAACTTCAGTTTCATCATCAACCTGGAGGCCCTGGTGGGTGAAGAGTGAAAGGAGGAACCATGAGGGGGACAGGTGGAGGGGGGAGAAGAAAACTTTGCTGAGGATCTTCTATGTACTCAATAGCTATATGCATGTTCTTATGTATTTTTTGATGGTTGTATACTGTAATTCAGAATGTGGGCTCTAAGAAACCAGGTTTTATTTTTTATTTTTTTGAGACAGAGTCTTACTCTATCGCCCAGGCTGGAGTGCAGTGGCGCGATCTCTGCTCAGTGCAAGCTCCGCCTCCTGGGAAGAAACCAGG